CCCCAAAACCCCAAAACCCCGTGTGATTTTTATCTATTAAAATTTTTGATGAAATAATCTTTTCATTTAATTACTTTTTGATTAAATAAATATCGTCATATTATGGGAAATTCTTGGAAAGGTATATCAAATGAGAAGCAAATACTTGCAGAAATTTAGTTGTACAAGAGAGCAGGATTAACTTTTAGGGACTTTGGATTTGCTGATGCAGTGATTCAACCTTATAAAAATGAAAAGACTGTTGACAGGCCTGGGGAAAACTATATACATGCAGTAGAGATAAAGAGATCTGACTTAGTAAATGATGATCTACCCATAATAATTATGATCCATGGTTATGGCTCGGGTGGTGCGATGTATCATAGACTAGTCAAGAAATTAGCTCCTTACTTCCATATTTTTGTCTTGGATTTACTGGGAATGGGATGTAGTGGCCGGCCTGAGTACAATTTCAAGGAACCAGATGAAGCTGAGGAGTTCTTCGTAGACTCTCTAAGACAGTGGAAAGTCAAAGTTTTTAAGGAGAAAGGCATATCTTAAAACAAAAAGTATTACTTATGCGGTCACAGTCTCGGTGGCTATATTTCAAGTGTCTATGCTTTGAAATATGAAAATGAACTAGAGAAGTTAATACTTTTATCACCAGTGGGCATACCCAAAAAACCTGATGATTTCGATTACTTAACAATCGCCAAAAAGTTTGACACTTTGCCTAAGAGAGTAGGAGCAAGAATGATATTATACCTTTGGGATAAAAGCTTCACACCATTTGATGTCCTTAGATATATAGGAGGATCTGGAACTCATTTATTCCTGAAGTTCTACATGGGTAAGCGAATGCCAAGTATATCTGATCTTGAAGAGATCTAAGAAGTTAAAAATTACTTTTAGCAGATATTCTTAAGACCATCCTCAAGCGAATAAGCTTTGAATACAATACTAAGTCCTGGATCATGGGCTAGAAAGCCTCTGCAAGATAGAATTATTGATATAAAAGCACCAATAGTCTTAATGTATGGAGACAGAGATTGGATGGACTCTACAGTAGCCAAATAACTAGTAAATGATAAAAAGATAAATGCTACTTTCCATGTCATAGAAAATTCAGATCATCATTTGTATTTAGATAATCCCATTAGAGTAGCATACAAGATATTAGTAGAGACTCATGGAATGAAGGTTGCATAGGCGTATTTATACAAGAAATAACATTATACTTCTGATTGAAGGAGATCTGATTAAATTACATTGTTAATAAAGTTAATATTGAATTAAATGAAAGTATATTTATAAGAACTTAATTATAGTTTTCTAACATAGTCATTGACTCAATTTAACTGTATAATGAACTAGATGATGATTAAGAAATGGTTTCAGTTTTTCTTGGCATCATCTTTATTGCTTTCAGTTTCTTGAGCTGCTTCACTTTCATCTGGGTTAAACTTAGACGCATTCATTTCAGCTGGGAAGTCCTGCATAATGTGTTCCTTTGCAAAGTATATTTTAGATTGAAGATAGAATGAACCACCTCTGTCTGGCATGTTCTTAACAAATAATGTTTCAAATCTCTAACCAAAGTTTATATTTACACTTAATTCATACCTCCATTATTTTAGTAGGGTCTACCTCAGTTGTCTCCTCTATTGATAAAATCTAAAATGCCTCGCTTCTAGTCATTGGCTTTACTACAAATCTTCCGAAAGTCTCTTGGGCTACCTTGCCAAAGCCAGATTACTGAGCTCCAGGACCTATTCATTTCAATATAAGGTATTTATTACTGTTGACTGCTTGCTGATATGCCTTAAACACAGATTTTCCAATTCTAGCTCCATACTCGACAACCAGATTGATTAAGAACTTATTGACCATGATTTGATAAATAATAAAATAATACAATTTATTTATACCATCAATTAATTCATAGCTCAGTTTACCCCTTAGGGGTTTTGGGGTTTTGGGGTTTTGGGGTTTTGGGG